AAACAGGCTGTTGTGACCATATTCAACTTCCAACAATACCGCCACATTCAAGCCCCTGGCTGGACTCTCGGGTGGACTTGGGCCAAGAAAGAGGTCATATGGGGCATGATGGGCGGTCAAACCACCGAGCAAGGAGATTGCTCGAGATTCAAAGGGAATATTCCGCATTGCTGTAAGAAAGATCCTACTGTCGTGGATTTACTGCCCGGTACCCCTTACAATCAACAGATTGCAAATTGCTGCAAAGGAGGCGTGATCAGCTCGTGGGCCCAGGACCAGGACAATGCCGCCAGCTCGTTCCAGGTCAGCGTTGGTTCTGCCGGGACCACTAATAAGACGGTTAGGTTGCCGAAGAACTTCACACTGAGAGCACCTGGGCCCGGCTACACGTGTGGGCCCGCTAAGATTGTGAAACCTACTAGGTTCTTCTCGCAGGATGGAAGAAGAGTGACTCAAGCCATGAGTAAGTTGAACTTATGGAGTTCTTTTAAATCTATGATTCTGTTTATGTTTTAAATCTTTTCAAGAAAATAAGCAGCTTCAAGACTTGATCACTGTATGCTTTTTCTGATTCTAAAATACTTTGAACTTTCAGGGGATGCTTATAATATTTTGATTTTGTTTGCATTTTTTGGTTTGGTATGGTTAGTTGTTAGTGAGATTTTGAGTTTATAGTAAAATAATATTTAAGATAAAATAATTAAAGTTGATTTGATGTAAAAGTAGGAGAAAAGTGATGTGAAGTGATGGTTAGTTAAAATGATGTGAGTGGATGAATAGGGAATTAAGGTTTGAAGTAATGTGTAATAATGATTGACTGATATTATTTAATTATATTGATAATATTGAGGATAGTGGGGTTGACTTAAAATTGAGTTAGATTTGAGTTAAAAAAAGTAATAGGTTAAAAATGATTAAAATTTTTCGGAAAAATTTGTATCCAAGTATCATTCTGTTTATGTTTGAACTCTTTTCAAGAAAATTAGCAGCTTCAAAAATTGTTCAGTGTATGCTTTTTTTTTTAATTCTAAAATACTTCAAACTTCAGGTTCTCTAAAAAGAGGATATTTTTTTGCAAACACCACCAAGATGTGTTGTACTAATGGGGTTTGCTTAGAATTCTTTGGTCAAACATATATCGAAATTGTTAGTTAAAGGCTTTGTTCGCTCTTACAATTATACTATTTTGGCTTGAACTTATCCTCTTATACTTTCTGATTCTTCTCTTAATGCAGTGACATGGAACGTTACGTGCATGTATTCTCAGTTTTTGGCCCAAAGAACCCCGACTTGCTGTGTGTCCCTCTCGTCATTCTACAATGACACTATTGTCCCTTGCCCGACCTGTACTTGCGGTTGCCAAAATACCACTGCTCCATCTGGAAGCTGTGTAAAGTGCGCTTCCTTTCCAATATTAACCTCATTTGTTCCTTTTCTTCTTCTTTTACTTCAAAATAACTCGGCTGCCTTTTTTTTTCGCTCATTGCAGTCCGGATTCTCCACACCTTGCCTCAGTTGTTTCTGATAATTCGAAGAACTTGGCTCCTTTAGTCCAGTGCACGTCCCATATGTGCCCAATTCGAGTCCACTGGCATGTGAAGGTAAACTACAAAGAATATTGGCGTGTGAAGGTCACCATAACAAACTTCAATTACCGGATGAATTACACGCAGTGGAATTTAGTCGTTCAACACCCGAATTTGAATAATCTCACACAGATATTCAGCTTCAACTACAAACCGCTAACTCCATATCAAAATATAAGTAAGTTTAGTTTAGTTGATCTCACTTGAAGGATATTTACAATATAATATAGTTTTTAATATTACTATTGCTTTCTTATTTATTTTCTGTGTTGATGACAATGACAGATGATACTGCATTGTTGTGGGGTGTGAAATTCTACAACGATTTGCTCATGCAAGCTGGCCCGTTTGGCAATGTTCAGTCGGAGCTTCTATTCCGTAAGGATAAATCGAGCTTCACGTTCGAAAAAGGTTGGGCTTTTCCTAGAAGAATCTATTTCAATGGAGATAACTGTGTGATGCCACCTCCCGATGCGTATCCCTATCTACCAAACGCCGGTTTAAGGAATAAAAATATCCCCTTGCTCATGCTAACAATAATCACTCTGTTTTCATCCATGGCTCTCCATTTTGCCTAACATGTTTTGCTACTGTTGTCAATAAATTTTTCGAGTACAATGTGATAGATACAACAATGTGTGTATACATGAAAATTATTGGTTATTATTTCATTTTTCCATCTTTCATGTTCACAAATCTAGCAATTCAACTGTATAATTTCTGTATGTAAAACTGTATACAAGCCTTTCTGATTTTCTTCAAAATTTCAAATACCGCCAAAAAAATAAATAAAATTATCACCAAATTGTAATAAGCGACATAACTAGCGCAGAAAAAGTCAACATCAAGAAAGAAGCTAGACTTGAGGGAGCAGAATTCGGCAAAAACGGGTAAGAATCGGGTGAGGGCAGCATGCACTCCTCCCCGTTGAAGTACACTCTCCGAGGAAAAGCCCACCCTTGCCTGAGGGTAAAAGTGTCTTTATCCTTCTGCATAAGCACTTCTGACTGAACATTTCCAAATTGCCCAGCTTCCATCAACAGATCATTGTAGAACTTCATGCCATAGAACATACCCGTGTCGTCTAGAAAAACAAAAACAGAAAAAATTACAAAAATACCCCTGAGGTCCATTCTTGTTCGAAAAAAGTCGACGCATTTATGCATGTACTTACTGATGGAGCCAAACGGGACGAGTGGCTTGTAATCAAAGCTGAAAACTTGGGTGACATTGTTGAGGTTCGGGTGCTGGATGACAAGTGTCCACTGTGTATAGTTCATTCTGTAGTTAAAATTTGTTACGGCTACTTTTACTCTCCAGTAGTCTTTGTAGTTCACCTTCACATGCCAGTGTACACGAACAGGACACATATGGTGCGTGCATTGCAAAAGGGGTGTATTGTCCTTTTTCGGAGTATTTATCCCCACCATGCTCAGGAGTTTCGAGTCGCTCCTGATAAACAATATTTTTTGTCGATTTTGAGGTTCCTTTTTTTTTTAATTGAATGTGAAAGAAAGAAAAAAAAATGATGAACTTTTCGAGGTTTACTTGATGCATTTGTTCTTGTTTTCACAGCCACATGAGCAAGACGGGCAAGGCGTGATCGTCTCGTTGTAGAATGACGAGAAGGACACGCAACAAGTCGGGTGCTTTCGGGCCATGAACTGAGAATACGTGCACGTCACATTCCACGTCACTGTGGAAAAAAAAAAAACGATTCCATATACCAATTTTGTGAAAATGAACTATTAAAATTTATCACTTCAGATTTGTCCCACATTGATTCTATAAGGAAAAATTTCGCCTAGCTTATATGCCTAGTGGGCTACTACTCCTCTCATCACTAATTGGTTTTGAGAATAGAACTTTATTATGGTGCACTTAAGTCCACCCTCTTATGGTGCGCTTCAATAAACAAAGAAAAATGATATCGAAAAAAGCCACTACACTACTTACTCAAGGCCTGAGTTTTCCTTCGCCGGTCAGGCGTGAGGAAGTTTGTGGGGGGAACAATCTTAGCCGGGCCGCAAGTGTATCCCGGGCCAGGCCCAAGAAGGGTGAAGTTCTTGGGCAACTTGACTGTCTTGTTGGAGGTGCCAGCCTGGCCCACGCTGACCTGGAAGGCTGACACGGCAGCCTGTGGGTCCTGGCCCCACGCCGCCAGCACACCACCTTTGCAACAATTGGAGAATTGCTGATTGTAAGGGACTCCAGGGAGGAGATCGACAATTGTCGGGTCTTTCTTGCAGCAATGTGGGATATTGCCTTTGAACTTGGAGCAATCACCTTGCTCGGTGGTTTGGGCCCCCACCATGGACCAAATCACCTCTTTCTTGGCCCAAGTCCAGCCGATGGTCCAGCCAGGACTCATGATGTGGCGGTACATTTGGAAATTGTTCATTGTTACTGAAGCCTGTTGATGGACAATAAACAACAAAAAAAGTAGAAACAAAATTAAAAAAAAAAAAAAG